TAGAAGCTCTGTTCTGTTTGGGAGAAGGGTTGTTGATCACTATACAGTGGGGCTGCAATCTCTCCAGTTGCTGCCAAATACCATCTCGACCCTTCATAGTGGAAAAGTTGTATCCTGCCTTGAAATCCATAGGAGATGCAACTTTAACACCATTCCTTGAAAGGAACCAAGATAATCCACTGTTTCCATGAAGTAACTCAACAACATCAGGATGATCATCATTACAAAAGAAAAAGGACTGTTCTCCGAATTCGGCATCAACATACAGTTCGTGATCTTCACGCAAGTTCTCCGGATTCTCATCGTCTAATGCCGGAATGGAAACATCATGCCACTCATCGTGATCACGTCTAACCTTCGACTGATTCACACGTATCACTGCCTTACCAGTATTGGCTTGGACCATAGCTCCTTCTTGTCCAAGTACTGTGGCGCGAACCCAACGTCCTTTATCCTTGAACTTTGATGAATCCTGAGTCCAAACAAAAACCTTCTCTCCTTGGAAATAAGGACCGTCACTTGGCATAGTCCTTCTCGCAAGATCTGCTCGAAGGTCCTGAGCTTGTCGTGCTTCTTGATGAGCTCTCAAAGCCACACGTTGTAGTTCCAAATTTGTACGATCTTGTGCGGCGGCATTAGCTGACAATTGCTCAGGGCTTGCGGTCTCAAGGTCAAAAAGATCTGGTGGACGTCTTCCAGTTGCTATCTCTATTGGTGAATATCCACTGATAGTCAACTGACAATTTCTTGCCCACACTACTTTCTTGACCACTTCTCTGACCGTAACACCACGAAAACGTGGGTCATCCAGATCTACCTTCATAACATGCCACATACGTTTGAACAAACGTACAGCTGTCTCTGCTCGGTTCGGCCAAGGAGTTCTTGGCCCACAAGGACATTGTTGTATACCATGGAACCTGTAGTATTCAACAAAAGCATCGGTGAAAAAGGCTTCGTCTCCTACGATGGCCTTTGGAACACAGTTGTTCTCATCAGACCATTGCCTCAATGCTTGGATGGTGGTTTGATCTATGAGGTCTTTCTGTGCCGTAGCCCAGAGAAGATTTGTGGCACCATCAAGAACAAGTAAGATGACATACTTGTTCTTGTGAAGTTCAACCTCACAATGATCAGCAAAAACAACATCACCAAAACATGAAGCTCTAATACCGGAGACTCTGGCTCGTGGCGGAGGTGCCACTGAAGTGTTACAAACACGGCAGTTCCTGACAACTGATTCATACTTCTCTAAAACAGAGTCAGGAAGCTTCAACATAGAAACACGTCTACGAAACTGAGTAGGACTCATATGGTAGTGCTTCACATGAAGCTTATAAAGCTCTACCTTGTCCTCCAGTCTCTGTAACATCTTCCTATATGCCGGTGTCATTGCAACAACTTCACTACCAGGTAATGGGATTGAAATCCGCCTAGGCTCAAGAGCGCCATCACCTGGTTCAAGTGGTTCATGTTTATCACTTGATGGTCCTTTTGATGCTTTAGGAATTTCTACAAGTTCACCTTCTGGCCTCTCAGGTGGTTCTGAGGGAACATACTCCTCAAGATCATCACCCTTTAAATCATTCTGAGGCTCAGATGGTTTCGACTTGTGTCCTTTCCAAAATGGATCAAAACCCTTGGAAGTATACCGGAACTTTGGCGGCACGGGCTTTTCCGCGGCACTGGATGGTGCACCTTCCTTCTCTGACGAGAAGCCTGGTTCCCTGTCCTTTGCAATGGGAACCTTCTCTGAGGAGGAGCGCACCACTGCATCGGGATCACCAATGCCACGGTGCTCAATGCCAGCCTTCCTGATCTTTAGATCTGGAATTTTGGCATCTGGCTTAAATTTAAAAATTGTTCTACCACGCCATTCATAGCCAAGTTGTAGGTCCTTCCATTTTGCCTTGCGCCAATCATCTGTCTTCTTGATTTCTTCTCCTCCTGCTTTCTTCTTGATGATTGTTAGTCGCAAGTCTTCCAGCAAGTCAGTGTCTACAGGACAGGACTTAGTTGCTGGGAAAAGAATTTTCCTGTAATCCTTGTGGTGACGTATCAGTTCTCTCTTGTGAACATCTACTTCCCAGAAATCAACCACAGGATATGCATGCTCAGCTTCACCTTCATCACTATTGTGTTCAACAGAAATATGGCCATATTCATAGTGAGTGAGGTGAGAGTAAAAACTCTTCTCACGCTGAGTCTGCCAACGCACGTCAGACAGATACCATGCAATATCTTGGAAGTCCAACACAAGATGAGTACTGGCTGCAACCTTCAACTCCAAAAATTTGATACCAAGAGGCACCGATGTCAGATAAGCATGTTGAGGTGTCAGCCTGAGTTCAAAGCCTAAGTTCCTCATCTGTGGCAAGCTCATAAGCAAAGGGACTTCCCCTTCTTCCACTATGTCGAACTCTGTATGGTGGATCGTCCATGCACGATCATACATATAAATCACCAGTTTCTGAGAGCAAGTAGCCTTCTGGGAATTGGCAAAGTAAAACTTGCTCTTGGTAAACTCAAAAGAGTACCATAATCCACAGTCTGGGTGATTGTCGACATAGTTGCAAAAATGGTCGACTGCTCGCCTTGATCCCATAGCTCTAGTGCATCCAATGTCCAGGATTGCAATAGTTGGCGGGAAGCGATTCTCAGTCAAAAATGAAATAGCCTGCATCTCCTTCACTTCTTCCTCAGCGCTCATAAGCGCAAAGCCATCAGCGCTCATAAGCGCAAAGCCATCAGGAGCCTTTGTGAGCATCTCCCTTGACAAAGAGTACCTCACAGGGGCACTCATGTCATCGAAGATCGTCTCACCATTGTTGACCACGCAGTCAGCTTCATCTTGGCATGAGGTCATCATGCCTGACAGCAAGTCCACCTCACTGTCATGGACTTCAGCTGCTGCTGTCACACAATGTGCAAAGAAACCTTGTTGACCTCCTGATGCTTGTGAAGTTCTTGAAGGTGCAGGTAAAGAACGTGGCTGTTGTTGATTTGCATAGTTTGCATCTTGTTTGCCATCTCCTTTATCTTTTCCTTTTCCTTTCTTGCCTTTTCTCTTGCCTTTTCCTTTTCCTTTGTGGGAAAACCATGCTTCTTCAAGCTGTTGCCAAAAGTCATTGGCATCATCATATTCTCCTTGAAGATAGTCATTCATATCCTCGGCAAGAATATGGCATCATATGCTCCTTGGGTTGACTCCCAAGTGTCCTCATAAGGATTCTCTTCAAGGTATTCATCTGGAAAAGTTGTCTGTTGCTCATCAGCAAAATGGCCTTTACCTCGTCTCTTTCCTTTTCCTTTTCCACGAGGTCTGAAGAATCTACGGCCTGATCTTCCTTTTCCTTTTCCTTTTCTTCTACCTTTTCCTTTGCCTTTTCTGGCTCTTCTTCCTTGGAATCTCCTTTGGAACCACGAGAAGTTTTGATCATCATACACCCAAAAGACATCGTCCAGGGCATCTAAAAATCCTTCTGTTCCATCTTCTTCATCTTCGGCCCAATAGCCAAATGTACCATCGAGTTCTCCTTCGTCTAGTACGAGAAATGATCTTCTACCTCCAGCACCTGTCGGCTGCATCAATGGATTGTCTACTGAAGCCTTTGTCGTGCAGAACATCTCGATGAACACTGTCCTCAACTCTGTTGTGGTGTATTGCTGCAGGTACCTGCCACGATGAGTCATCAACGAAGTCAAAGTGTTTCGCTGGTCCTGAGACAAATCTGCAAGGGACAGCATGAGTAGGGCAATGAGATTCTCTCCTAAAGGAAAATCATTCTGATGAAGAATTCTCATATTGCCATTGACATTCTGCATGATTTCCTGAATCCTTTCTGCCGTTGGTGCTACTCCAGTCAACGCTGCATCTGCCTGCATCTGAGCAAGGACTTGGGGATGTGCTTGAGTGACTGGTTCTAACATGTCCATCCAACTGCTCATAAGCCTTTGGAGTAAAATCTGGAATCTTGTCATCCATTTCATCATGTCGGCTGATCCTCGATTGAATCGCACGAATTGCATAAACCTGTATAGGAATACATTGGTTGATCCTTTCACGAAATATGGTCGTAGTACTCGTTTGAAGTAATCTACTCCTGCTCCTGGTGGCTCATTAGCCTTCAATGAATCTCTGTCTAATACACGTTTGTATACTGCTGCTTCTCCTTCTAATCTGTTTCTCAAAGCTGGTCCTCTCTTCTCATCTTCCAGCTCGGTGATATCACACCAATCGTCTATGGCATCCTCATAGGAAAACCATGAAGTCTTTCCATCATAAGATGGGGGCACCTGTGTAGTGACCTGTGTTGTCATTGCTATTGCTGCTGGTTCTCTTCTCACATGCCTATTCACGTAGGCTGCTGGCTCATAAGCCACATCCGCATCAGGCTCTTCCCAGTCGTCAATCCAATCCATGGCCGTTTGCCCACAAGCAATTCTATGCCTAGGAAAGGAGCTCACCTGGGTCTTCCAGGATCACTGCTCCGCTACCACTGAAAGAGTAAAGAGTGACTAGGGCGTACACGGTAGAGGTGCAGACCGCTAGTGTCTTTTATGCGCAGAGTCTTATCCTCTTGCTCTTTGAGCCTTGAAGCAGTCAAGCATGGACACACTATATCAGCTGTTGGAGTGGAGCCCTGTACAGGTAGGCTCTACTTTTCAGGGGGGGGGGGGTTTGCCCCTACCTTCTGAGGATGTGGGACAGGAGCCCCTAGGCCCTAGACTTATGGCAATGGTTACGGGTTTAAGGTAGTCCGTCCCGGACCTCTGTATCCAGTGACCTGACAAAGGACCCGCAATCAGAGGAACATCTTTTGGTTCTGAAGAACATGTGTTGGTGAATAACCAGAAAAATGGTCGGAAGGATGCCATATGCAGACTAGGGTACCCAGCCGTGGGATAGTCCAAAGGGAGCTCCTTCCAGGCTTCTTCCACCTTTGCTTCAGCCTTCAGCCTTCCCCGCTCCATCCGCACTCCCCGGACCCTCCACCGAGGCCCTCAATGCGCCGTCCGGTCAGTTGCTTCGGGAGGCGGGAACAGCATCTCGACACCGTTCCACACCCCGTCTTCGTGGCACAGACAACGGAAACATGTGCTGAAGGCAGTGAAGGCAGTCGAAAAGGATCCAACATGTGGAGTTGGTTTGGTTTTAATGTGAATACAAGGCATTGTAGTAAGGCATGTTTTTGGGGTTCATTGTCCCATGGCTCTTCTCCTGCCCGTTCCTTCCGCAAAAAGCCTTTCGAAAGCTCTTCGAACGTCGAGGCCGCCACCCCTGGAAGCTGGGGCTGCCGGGGCTCCCAGCGTCCGCGTCTTTTTTCGGTGGGGGCGCTGCCACTCACGTTCCGGCACTCCAACAGAGCTTGAACAGCCCTTTGTCCCCCATCCCATATGTACCACTACAGGGTCCCATATGGTCTCCCAACCTCTCTTGGCTCCCTCCCTCTGTTTGTAGAAGCCGATGTTTCCACGACCACTGCTGGCTTCGCTCGAGCATCCCACCCTGGCTTCGCCAGCACAGGAGGTGCGTCACTTGATTGAACCATGTCCGGGTGAAAGGAGGGTCCCAGAACTGAAGCATCGACCCTGGAGGAATCTCCAGCAAGGTTTTCGAGGGGTTTTGGCTCGAACATGGCCCAGTGAGAGGATCAGGGGATCAGGTGGCTGAACCTCCGGAAACTGCTGGTGAGTGGGATGGTCTGAAAAGTTCAGCTTTCCTTCTATTTTTGCACGGCTGATGTTTGCAAGAACGGTGAGGTTACTGTGAGTATTCGTTGCAGATCATTGCCGTTTTACATCCCCATCACGTTCAGCAAGCATTTCTTCAGGGCTCTTGGTTGAACAAGAAATGGAGCCTCCTATCATCAAAAGACCGGACGAGATTCTGTCTCCAGTCCGAGGTCTTGATAGCCATTTGGCGGCGGTGCGGGCTCTCGACATTGCGAAGGAAGGTCGGGATGCGGTGGCAAATATGGCCGCGGCCTATTATTTCGTTGAGCGAGACATGATTTTAGGGGGTAAATCTGGAACCATCGATCTGACATGGTTACCCTCCCTGAAACAATCATGGAAGCTGAGCAGACCCCCCCTTGTAGAGGACGATTGGTCTTCCAGGGGCCTATGTTCCACTTCCATGATTGTTTCAGGGAGTGTATAGGTTGCTCCTTCATGGGGACATTGTACTTCCAGCCCCCTTGCAGGTCACCCATGGTATCGAGCCTGCCCGTCCTGGATGGATGGCATAAGTGATCGCTGGCTGGTCACCTGGGTTTTTCGGATCAGATTTTGTTACTTTACCGAACTGGTCATATATCCACAATGGTCACAGCCACTTACCCGTCCCAGCCAAGGCAGTGGATCAGGCAGCCGCCTGGGTGGCCGGGCGTTTGGAAGCGATTTTTGCTCCTTGGCCGCGCGTTGTTTGGCACGCGTCGTGTGGTCGAAGATAGACCCCGTTGAAACGTTCCCGGCTATAACATGGACCATGGAGTCAGGGTGTCAGATCCAGCTGTGGGACGTGGAACAAAGGCCACACCTGCAGGCCACGTGGATGACGGACCTGTAGACGTGCCTGTGGGACGGTGAGACATGGGCGAGTGGCGAGTGACGTAGAAACAAGTGATCCATGGTTGGCAGTGGTTGGCTGATTGATACCATTGGACCCCCCAGCTAGTCCCCCAGCTATATAGCTGCCGAGCTTGAGAAAGTTTGAGACATGTTCAGCCAACACTTTGGCATACTTTGGCTAAAGATTTGAGGGTAGGATGTGTGTGTGTCATGGGCAGGTGGCCGTGTGCAATTAACAGTGCCCATTTCTGTTTATCCCCTTCAGGCAGTGTGTGGGGCAAAGTCGTACAAGTAATCCTCAGAGCCCTGTTCTTAACCTTCAGAATGTGCACCAACTAGCTGTCCTGGGTATGCATTTTGGCAGTGCAGTCCATATAACCTAGTGGCTCCCAGCACCTTCTATGAAGGTGTTTGGGGGGTGTTTGGAGGGTACAAATACCTCCTCGGATACTTGGAGCCCTAAAACACCAGGGACTGTATTTGTGCTTTTTGGTCAACATGAGCATGATCACCGCGCTATCCCCACCTCAAGGCACCACGTGGTGAGCCAGGCGCCCACGCAGTTCTTTCTGGCGTTGCACAACAACCGCGTGGAGCGGATGGGTCTCCTCCTAGCGTAGCGTGGAAAAAGGTGTTGTTTTTCTTTTGGCCAGGGCGGCTCTGAAGGGCATCTTAACCCTAGGCCGGAAGGGCCCGGTCCGGCTTCCGTTCGACTCTTCAAAGAGTTCGGTTGACCTGGTTTGACCATGGTTGTTGGAAGCGCCCTCCTGGCACTCAACCCAGTCCAACCGGAACGACAGTGCTTGAGTGGATCCTAAGGTATTTTGTTGTAGGGGGTCATTCTTAGATATTCTTAGTCCCTGTAGGGTCCAGGGTACTTTTTCTTCCATGGCTTTTGGGGCTGGCACATGCTCATTTCCCAAAGACTGCATAATCTACAGAAGGTAGGCGTGTTCTTTGACAGATCAACTAACTGCATTTCAAACAAAATCGCTTAAAAAAGATGTTTTTCTCACTTTGCCAACTTCCTCTTCAAACCACTCAGACCAGTACAACCTACGAAGACCTACGATCGCTCTTCCCGGTCCGACCGGTCCGACCGTTCCGAGACCGAAAGTCCGACGGTCCGACGGGTCGCGGCCGTCCACCGCGTTTCGCCTGGCCGAGCTGGGCGAATTGTGCCTGATCCAATTGTCTGAGACAGTCGATCAGATCATGGGGGGACATAATTAAGCCAATGACGCTCAGACCAGCCCCTTCTGAGTCAGTTGGACCTCATTTTAAACTGGAGTTGGTCTAAGAACACTACTCAATAAGGTTTTCAGGACCAGGTTTGGATCTGAGTCAGACTGGGCCACCACTAGCGAGGCTCTTTGGGCGGAGTGATTGGTTTCTTGGCTCGGAGGAAGGTCTGATGGCTCCGCGGTCAGGCGAAGAAGATGCCACGTGCATGGCTGAGAGGGAGGAAGCTGAAGGGAGTCTCGTCCCGACGTGCATTTTGCGTCATTTCGTTATTGACAGTGTTGACTGGTACAGTCCCCAAGAACCCATGAAACGTCGTGAAACCATTTTTGAACGTACATCATCATCGTCATCATCATCATCATCGTCATCGTCATCGTTTTGCGGGGCCGGGGTCGTACTTCAAACGGTATGAAGATGGTCCAGTGCTTTGCCTTGCTTCAAGATGCTGGAGCCCGCTTGAGTCCTTGAGCAAACATGATTCAGGACAGCGGGGTCCACCTGCTAGCCCTGACTTGTCAATCTTCATGACATATAGATGACTAAATAGATAAGTCATAGACCATATATATACCAGCACCTTCCAACAGGTCTCCACTGGAGGCTTTTGTAGACTTAAACGTCGCAGGTGGTGACCTGTTGGAAGGTCCTGGTAAATATAATTTGGGATGATTTCTTTGCTCAACTTCTCATTTGCTCAACCTTGTGTTGGATGTTGTTAACCGAAGAATGACATGTTTGGAGGATATATCAGCGACACTTTCAACAAAGATGTAGAACACCATTCCATTCACATGACATGATTGTTGGATCTTGGCACGGTTTCTTCCAAAACTCCTCAAAACTACACGTTCTGCTGAGCTTCTATCATTGACAAAGAGTGACCTTGCCAACAGTCCATGATTTGTGCGATGTCCTTTCCAGTTCCCCACCAAACTCTATAGTGGATTGGGATACAAACATGCATTCGTCCCTGTTCAAAGACCCAGCTGATCAGTATATGAGGCTTTGAGAATTAGTTCCCAATTCCACTCCCTTTTGCGTCAGGCCCATCGGCCGAGCAGACCGGCATGAGGGTAGTGGCCTGACACAGGCGCCGGATCGAGCTGGTGGTGGCTGGCATTCTTGGTATTCATGTAGACTGATGAGTAGAACCTCGCCTATTGGAGTGAACAACACGTTCAACAAGCCTCAACAAGCGTCTTGGAGGCGTTCACACCTTGAAAACGAGTCTACGATAGGGCCGTTGGTGATCGTTTGCCGCACATTTGTGTTTGTCAATGTTGGCCTGTGAGCCATGTACGTATGGAGTGTTTGGGTGGTTATCATGGAACGCGTAGTGACATATTGCAACCGCTAAAGGTTGCTGAAAGGTCGTACGTGATTTTCTCCAATTCAACTCAGGAATTCTATAGGGATCCAAGTACCTTCTCAGAAGGTGACTGGAGACTACTCAAGTACCTTCTGAGATTGTATGTGGATCCCTAGGGGAAGTAAATAGGATGCCCCCTCCCTCCCGTGGTTTTCATTGTTTTCTTCCTCTAAGTTCACAGTTCCTGGTGACCCATAGTGTGAGACCTAGGGAACACCGGACCATCTATTTACTCATTGAGTACCATGCTACTTGCTTGGCATGTACTCAACTCTTGTATGAAGGGTCCACCGTTAAACCATGCTGAGCTGCTGAACATTTGTTTCCCAGAAATCTCAAGTTTCCTATAGCCGTGAGTTTGGTTGAGATAGAGTCATGTGGACGGGTCCAGACCTGGAGCCCCAGACACCATGTAACTTTGACCTTTCACGTAGCTCAGCCAAGCTGTCCTGGTCATGACCGCTTTTGACCCACATGTTGACATCTATAAGTGGAACATTGCTCTCAGCCTTGAAAGTTCTTTGAAGGAACCACCCGGAATCCCGCGGCTTCCTCTATTTGAGATGCTCTTTGTTTGATGCGGTGTGCACCCTTCCGTCCGTACATTGGTTGCAGTTGTGGTGGTGGTAGTATGTAGTATGTAGCCATAGTAGTACCTAGCAAGGAGCAGGAGTAGGAGTAGGAGCAGGAGCAGCAGCAGCAGCAGCAGCAGCAGCAGCAGCAGCAGCAGGAGGAGGAGGAGTAGTAGTAGTAGTAGTAGTAGTAGTAGTAGTAGTAGTAGTAGTAGCAGTAGCAGTAGCAGTAGCAGTAGTAGTAGTAGCAGTTGTTGTTGTTGTTGTTGTTGTTGTTGTTGTTGTTATTGCTGTTGTTCCACCAGCGCCACGCTGTCAGACCACATGGCGACGTGAGAGACACGCGTCCCTGGGCGACAAATGACCAACAAGTTGGACGTTGCTGCGAGCTACGTCGGGTGGTTGGACGGTGGAGAGTCCAAAACGTCGTGCTTTGGAACATCATGACGGGCAGTTGCATGCTTACATGTTCGTTTTTATGTTGACCTGTTTTTGAAGAACGTTTGCCTACTTGGATGGGGTTCCAGTTTGCCTATAGTTTTGGTTTGTTCCTTGTGGAATTAGGTGCAGTGCTTGCGAGATTGGAACATAGGTCGGTCGAAATGGCGTGGTAGACCTGGCAAGTGGTGATCCTCTCGACGGAAGAAGATCCAGGTGTTCCTATCTCTCAAAGATGCACATGAGTGGCATTCCGAATCTCCTCCCAGAGAAGGAAGCATGCAAGTCTACAGAAAAGGTCTTCAACGCATTGGCAGCCCCCCGAACAAGCAACAAAAACAGAGAGGAGTTGCTCTACAGCAATTCCTTTACACTTCCAGAACCCCTTCCTACTGGCCCCTTCACACTGGCAACCTGGTGGCATTCTTTTCATTGCTCCATTGTTATCTTGGTCCATTTGAGCCGCCAGATGTCTCCACTTTCGGGGAATATAGATAATAGAGGTTCTTCCTGGCATGCAAACCCGAAGCCGAGGCAGAAAGCAACATGTTTTGCGTCAATACGTGCGGAAGATCCAGCTAGCTATATTCTTAGTTTGGCTGGTACCTTAGTCCAGCTACACCTGCCCAAGGCGCCCACGAGAGCCAGTGGAGGCGGTCTGGCAGGCGGTCTGGCTTGGACAGAGCTTGGACAGCCATGTCCGAAGAAATCAGTTGTCAGGCACGAAACTTTTCCAAGATGTTGGTCCTCCTAAACATGAACGAGCGAGAGCTTCCCTGGCAGTGGAATCTACCAGTACATCTACCATGATTCATGTGATAGTTTTGCAATCGTCACCTCCTGCTTGGAGCATTTGTTTGCTGCCTGTGTTTTGCTGTTTGTCCCGAGAAACGTTGATGAGGTGGTTATGAGGCAAGGCGATGAAGGGAACACATGTTCCGATCCAGATGAACCGCCCTCCTACAAGCGGAAAGAGCATCATGTTGAAGCCAACTCCCATGATCCGTGGCTTAAAGAAGATATGGAAAGACATGTGTTCTGTGTTTTTGGTTTCTTAAGTGCTTTTCCATCCCTAGACATCCGATTCGATGAACGTTCGCTGTTTCACAGCCGATCCGGACCTACCCGCGCCGCGCCCGGCCGCGGCCCGCCCCGCGGCTTCTTCGGAGCAGGACCACCCGGAGGAGCCACAAAAGTCTCCCAAGAGGCCGGCCAACATGCCCGGGAACCCGTGGACCCAGTGGACAGCTGCGCAGTGGACCGCGAAGAAGAAGAAGCCGAAAGGGACGTAAAACAGGACCGTTGGGAGTGCAACATGGACCTACATTGGGTGGTTGTAGGGGATCAATGTAGGCATAATTATAGGTCCATACTTAGGTCCATATTGGTCCTTATATTCCATACAGCGAGTGTTTGGGTTATGTGACGACTTGCTAGAGGATATGACCTTTTGAAGCACCACAGCTTTTGATCGGTCATTTGCCAACAAATACCGTCATGTTGGTTGGGGGTTCTGGTGGCTGGAGGGGCTGGAGATGGCTGGAGGGTCAGTTCCAGGTAGTTCTGAGGTAGTTGGATCGATATGGAGCACTTTGCGGCCGCTCCGCTCACGCTCAGGTTCATCGTTCTAGACCGGAGCCTGGTGGAGTATTCCAGGGCCTTCAGTTGGTGACCTCATGTGACCTCGTACTGGAGTGTCTAAGTGATTGTCAGACTCCTAGAACCTGATCGATCCCTGTTTGGGATCCAAAACATGGTCCAACTTTCTATCAAAACAAAGGTCATGTCTGGGTTCGAACGGTTCTTGGTGCCTGCCACCAATTGGACCACCCCACGCTTCTTGTGGAGACGCCCACGCTTCTCCTGACTCCCAGCCGCTGCGCTGGTTATGCTTCTCCTCACAACGACCTTTCAGGCCCAGCCTCCGGAATCCAGGAGAGCGGTGCCCTTGGGGAGGAAGTGGACCAGAGCAGTCATGAAAACGAACCCAAGCACTCCATGTATACTGTATAGGTCGTACTTTCCATTATTTACAACCTACAGGACAGGGTGGTTTGAATATTCCAGTCCCAGGGAGTGTTTGGGAATACTACCAGGAGCCTCCTGGCCAGGCTGTTTGGGGACCCGTTTCTGGGATTCGAGGTGGACTTGTCAGGAAGCGCCTGAGGATCCAGGTATCGAAGATTGCATGGTGATAGCAGATAGGTGGCGAT